AAAAAAAAAAAAAAAAAAAAAAAAAAAAAAAAAAAAAAAAAAAAACCAAAGAGCAGTTGTGTTCCATTCTGAGCTGCTTGGGAAGCCGGCAATGGTTAGGCAAGGAAGTCAGTTGTTGAGTTTCTATGGCTTTAGCTACTTCATGAATTAGGGATGGCAAGATTGGATGCAGTTAGAAAATCCATAGCAACCATCCAGGAGAGGCCTGTTGAGGCTTTGCAATAAATCAGATCTGATGGGGACAGTGATGGACTGACATTGTTGGGAGGCAGAAGAGTGAGTGAGGCAGAGATGTGGTATTAAAGACACCCCTATTGCCAATGTTGCTGAGTAGGAGGGAGAGAATAATACTAATCAGCATGCACGTGGCTAGCTTGGTTTGCCTGTCCATGGAGGCAAGATGCCAAGAGGCACAGGTGTTCCCTACCATCAAAGGAGGCTGCTCCCTCTCTTGATTGCATAAACAGGCCTCCTGCTTTCCAGCCTCCTCAACATCTAGTCTCACCCCGGGGAGTCCTGGCCTCCCATCCAGGGTGCTTACTATAGAGGGAAAAGGATTGGAGGGCTCTGCGAGAGGATGCGGGCTCCTTCTGGATGGCACTGAGGAGTTGCTCAGACCCTACAGAATCTGCAAAAGCTGTGGGTCCACCTGGGGCAGCATCCGCTCTATTGCCATCTGTTTCCTATTGAGGCTGAGCACGCTCGTGTGTGTGGTCACAATCGCACAGGAAAATCATTCTGCCAATAAATATGGAACATTAGGTTTCCTTTTCTCTTCTTTTTAACTGACTTACAAAATGAACACTGAAAATTCTGACTCCTTCTACCATGCCTCCCCCAATATAATGACGTCACTTTTGCCTTGAAATCTATACTTCATTGAAGGGTTGGGGAGGGGGCTCCTTGCACATGTACAAGGGCCAAACCAAAGGAGGAAATGTGAGCAAAGTGGTTGCATCCTTTTGCAATCAACTATTATAAAAGCTGGCCATCTCCCGTGCTTCATGAAGACATACAGTTTCCAATAGGCCTAGTTTTACTTTACATAATTGTAACCATCTCAGCATGTCAATTAGCATAGAATGTTACCTTTGGGATGGGATCAATTAGAGACCTGAAGATTGAATTTGGAATCATGATTAGCCTGCTTTACATTTTGCCTTCATTTTCTAAAATATACAATTGTCTGATTCAGCTCAATTTAAAAAAAAAAAAAAAAGAAAGAAAAAAAAAAGAACGTATTGTAAACTTATTTTTTTAAGCCAAAACAGACACGGGAGGCTGGTTAGTAACAGGAACCATGGCAAAATGGAGGATGGGGGTGCTATTTGATTAGGGCCTATTCTTAAATTTCCCCGGCAAGAAAATATTGAGAGTAGCGTAATGGTTGCTGGATTTTCTTGAGAACTGAAATCATTACACTCTGGCGGAGTTCCAAGTTCTTCCCTTTTTTAGGTTACAATTTGAAACAGTGCAGAACATGCTATAGTGTTGTAGTCATTCATGTAATGTCATTGAATTGAGCTTCTGGAAATAGACAAAGGACTTTGTGTCCCAAAATGTTCTTCTGGCGGAAAATTGATAGCAGCATGAGATATGCTCTTACTAGGTTTGCTTCTGCCTCCAAATTTGTGCTGACTAAAGTGGGGAGGGAGGAAGAGGGAAAGGGAGAGGGAAGGGAGGGAGGGAGGGAGGGAGGGAGGGAGAGAGAGAGAGAGAGAGAGAGAGAGAGAGAGAGAGAGAGAGAGAGAGAAGAGAGGTTTCAAACAATGTCTACACACATTTCCACATGTCCAGGAGGCGCTGCAGAAGTTTTCCCCGGGTTACTATAATAACGTGAACCTCTTTGTTTGCTTTTAAGTTGTTGTTTCCCAAATGGGGACAATGAACAGGCAAATGCATGACATGAAACCTTTGGCTAATTCTCCCAGGCCCTCCCTGCCCCCATTCCAGCCCCGGCAAAGTGTTTCCCGTTCATTGAAGCCCTGAGTCTGGAGCTCCTGCCAGATTCGTCAGAGTGACAGGCGAGTCCAGCCTCAGCAGCCAGAGATGCAGCCTGAATGCAAATCAAAGCTAGGCCTGGACTCTCTGGCCGGGACACATGGTGTTGGGCCTGAGCCCAGGCCTGGCCAATTCTTTGCCCTAATGCCTCTCCAAGCTTTGCCATCTTCATTGCTGCTGTCCCTTTTAGGAAGAAAAGTTAGAGCTGTTTGTGAATGATGTGAAAGATATGCCAATAAAGCCCCTTTCCATATAAATAGCACATCAAAATATTACCAAATAATGCTGTTGACTTTGCCAGCAGGCAGAGGACTCCATCTGGAGATAATATCTTCCAACTGAGAGGCATCCAAGGTGCCCTTTCCTAGGCAACAGGCACACTGACCCACATGGGGCTAAATCCCATTCTATTTGAACGTGAGTGCCTCCTCCTCTTCTGTTATACTCAGGCACCTGTGCCGGATCCTGAAACAAAAAGCTCCCATCCAAAATTAACTCACTGGTCATTTCCTCTGTGACAACAACAGCACCACCCTTTCCTGACCACAGTCTGATCATGTCCACATATTATTCTCCAGAGAGACGCAAAAACAGTAAGTACAGGACTGAGGACAAGCTCCCTCAACACATCCGCCTACCTGCTCTGGTCCACTCAGTGATGACAGCCCAGCTCATCCATGGGTCTGCTCTGCAAGGTATCTAACCTTCTAAATTGAGCCTCCCTGCTTCTCCAAGGGTAATCAGAGTCTGGGGCAAATGTTATGCTTTAAACATAGAAGGTGAGCTTGTCCAAACTGCAGAGGTTTCAAATGCACACAGAGACTCTTTCCTGTTCTCTTGGGGTGTTCAGCAGATTCCTGATGAGTTGTTATGTGCAAGAGCAACAGAGGAACAGAGGTGAGCCAAACATGGATGGAGTCCCCCTGCTCTCCGTCATCAGTACAGCTCTCCAGTTCTTATTGTTATAACTATAGATTCCTTAGGTTTCTTAGAGGGGCCTGTGTTCTCTGCCCACCCAGGTCCCCAGGCTCCTTTTGTCCCCAGGCTCCTTTTGTAAGGACCGTTTCTGACTTGATTTTTTGCCCACTTAATCATGAAAGCAGCCATTTCTCGTTACCTTGAAGTGCAGAGCATGTGTGGGTGAAGGAGCCTTTTGGAAGATCTCACTGGGCTGCGGAGGAAAGCAAGTAAGGAATCCTATACACACTGGTGTTATGCTAAACATCAAGAGAGGACCCAGGACCATGCAGTGGGGGCCTTCAGAGACAGCTCCTTCAGACTTCCATACTTCGCTTTATTTTCCCTAGCCCAGCTTCAACTCTTAAAGTTCTTAACCGCTGGAGGATAGAATCTTAACTATTCAAAATGCAATATTTGGAACTGTTCCCTCTTCTGGGGGGTGGGGGGCTAGAGAGTGGTTGCTGAATGTCAGACTTAAACTTTCATACCCTCATACCTCAAAGACTATTAACTATTAACTATTAACAAGACTATAGTTGTTTTTACAAAAGATAGTGTTAAGGGTTAAAGTCCTATTTTTGTCACATTATGCAGAAGTTTGATGCCATTCAGTTCAATGTCATCTACTATTTCCGGAATCCCTTCCACATTCTAGGCACTATTATATGCCTTCCCAGCACACATCTTTATGATTCCTCATTTTGCTTTTTACCTGAGGAAGAAATTGAACATGGGAAGAGCCACACACTGTCCAGGACATCCACCTGTCTTTTTTGTTTTGTTTTGTTTTTCGAGACAGGGCTCCTCTGTGTAGTTTTGCTGCCTGCCCTGGATCTTACTCTGTAGACTAGGCTGGCCTCAAACACACAGAGATCCACCTGGCTCTGCCTCCCGAGTGCCCACCTGTCTTTTTAAAGCCAGTCTCTGAATGAATTAAAGCCAATCTCTCAATCAATCATTTGCCAAACCTCTCACAGTTTAGCAAGTGCTAATTACTTGCAAGGTATAAAGATAGATACAAAGATCAAAAGAGTTCCAAAGAGCACTAGGATATAAACAGCAAGTTGAAACTAGAGCTACAACTTTGCAGACTGTGACCTGGATTTGAATCCCAGCTCCTAAGAATGTGTTGGGCAAGTTACCCAACTACCCATCACATTCCACAAATACAAAATGAAAACAGTAAAAGAAAGTACTCCACTCAGTTGTTTGAGGGTCTAAGGAGATAAAACATTCAGTACCCAAGGAGCCCCCCAAGTGGATACTTCTCCTTATTTTGCTGAACATGATTTTACACTTGCTTTGTGAATTCAGCATTTTATGGTAACATCTCCATGCTCCTGAGGACCCTTTTGAAGCATCACTTGGCCAGCTAGTCATTGTCTTATTATATGGACACACCATACTTGACCTCACTATTCCCTGCTGCATTCATATATTAGGGGAAAGCATGGTTTATTTTATCAAGATCTTTATTTATTAAGGCTATTACATCTTTTTTTTTTACATTTGCAGCAGATGTTTCCTTGGGTTTTGTTTGCTCTCTAGTTTTATGTAAAATTTTTTTTTACATTGGAGTTGTTCATTTTTTATGTAACCTAGCCTATATAAATTTTCCTTTGTGGTACTGTCCATTAATTTTAAGATCTAAAAAGAGCTTTCTTATAATACAGAAATTAGAGGGCTATTCACCAACATCTTTTTCTAGTACAAAAATACATTTTGAAGTGATTCACCAAGTAAATTCCAATGAAGATTTTCTATTGGTGATTTGATCTCTTCCTGCACAACCTTGTTATCTAAGGTAATAGTGTTAATGATTTTCTCATAATCTGGCTTGAGGGATTAGATAACCAAATTTAACTCATTCATATCGGGAATTTTTCAGAGGCTAGTCCACTACTCCTTCTCAAGTGAAGATCTAGAATCTAAAAACATACTCAACTCTCACAAATTTCAAAGATTTGCTTAGCATGGCCTTGGCCTCTAGGGACCTTCTCTGTCACCCTCCATGCCCCATGCAGATAATCTGGAGAAAAGACTTTGGCATGAGGCTGACTTGGACCGGTCAAGTGTTCAGCACTGTACTCAACACTGTGATTCCTGTACAAGGAAAATCTGGACTGCTCTTCTCATATGAAAATGGAAAGACAATCATGGAACTAATTTCTACTGTGGACATTGAATGAAAGAACACATAGACACCTCTCAATCTCTTAGCACAATACCTGATAAATAAGTGACCCACAAACATTAGTTATTTTTCAATTTCCTCTGCCACAGGAGGACCATAGTTGTTCACAAAGGTCCCAATGTTCAGTAATAACTGCAGAACAGCACACAGCCTCACATCTTTGAACTCACTTTTCTTTTTAGCACTTTTCTTGAGTGCATATTATTCCAGGGACTGTGCTAATCACTTGCTGTTTAGGAGAAACATATGCCTGCCTAGGTAGTGGCCAAACCTGGATTCCTGAGCCTCTTCTCGATGCCTTTCAGGGTTGGCTGGTTCTTCACTACCCTTAGAGATTTCATGCTATTATTGAGCCCTCCTACCATCCACAAGAAACAATCAGAAAATCTGGGGCAATGCAGATTTCTGGAACTTCCCCAGAAAATATCGCTGATTCAGCTGTGAAGACCAGAGACCTACAGTATTAATATACACTGTCTCCAGTAGCTTGGACCAGTTGGGTCCTATGTGAACTACATGCCTTGTTTTGAGAACCATAATCCAGGGGAAAGAGAGGCTTACACACGGCCTAAGCATGGGAAGGACCGAGCCTTTTGTGTGTCATAAGAACAGAGTGGATCCCTCAGACAATCTCGCTAGAATTAGCATCGCCATTGTAGTTTTGCCCTTCTGGGACACATTGAAGAAATTTTAGTTTATTCAGCACTCATAAAGTGACCCATGGTGAATATGTCCCATAAATTTCTCCTCATTAGCCTTTTCCTTGGATTAATCATCCAATGTTCAATGTTCACATCAAGTTTTTCCTCCCAGTCTTTCTGTTCATCTAAGTGAACTGAATCAATTGGGAACGTTTCCATGGTCTTGACAGAGCATCCTATTCAAGTAGAACTCATCTACTTAAATACACCAGTCAACTTTAATTTGTTTTCAGAGGGTCATATCAACTACTCAACATGAAGGAAGTTTCTGAAAAACCCTGGCAGCAAATCCAAAAGACTTGAAAATTCTCCTTGCTGGGTAAGGAGAATCTCATGTTCGTTCACACAAGCCATGCTGCATCCTCTGTCACCCAGAGAATGAGAATGGGCTGAAGATAATGGCTTTCAAATCTAAAATAGAGATTACCTGGAGTAACAGGGTGGAAAAAGATTGAGTGGGTAGGAGAGACACAATTCAAAAGGGCTATCCTGAGGGTTGGCCTCAGAACTACAGCACTTCTGGCTTATGTTATGTGGCATGTGGTCTGTTCCTTCACCATTTTGTACACTGTTTAGTGAATCCAAAGTCTTTGGTGATCATCTCAGAGCTCCATGATCTGGGGCAAAGTTTCTAGGTGCCATCTTGAAAAGTCCTGAAAGTTTAGACACTCTACTGTGTGTTAACTCTTTCTTCCTTGCCTAGGTATAAATAGTCTTGGGTGTCCTGGAGGATCTTATGCATGGGCTGTGACATGTACCACCAGGTATATTCTGATTGTTTCTTGGTATTTTAAACACATGTATCTAACTAACAAAATTTGAAGCATTAAAGGAACTAACATAATGGCATAAGCCAGTGGTATTTATTTGCTACAACTCAAAATTCTGGTCATACTCTTTGGAGTGGGAAGGAAGAGGGACACAAGCTGGATTTCCCACACATCCAAGCTGTCCATACATATTTTCACTTGGCCTCATTCAGGATTTCTAACAGATGACTCAACTGAGGAGTTCTGCAGCTCAACAGAAGTAAATTTCATAAATAATCAGTTCTGAAAAAGTAGAAATTTAAAGTCTTCTATTTCTCTTTCACAATTCAAATTTAGGTATGATTATTTGACTGTATACACACACACACACACACACACACACACACACACACACACAAAATCAAAGGTGGTGCTCTTTTCTATGCATATTAACTTCTTGATGAAGCCATCTGTCATCAGTGTAGGTACACAGAGCTCTTACTGAGAGCTGCTTTTATTTACGTAACTCTGAGCACACAATCACCTCTCTGGTACTTGTCAAGTGAAGGAGAAAATCAGTTAATAAAAATAAAAATGCATATACTTACTAAGCTCACTCATTAAAAACCAAAAAAATGGAAAATAATAAATAGATTTGTTAGTAAATAATGTATTTGATCAATCATTTTGCACATAAAGTATAGTATGCCTTTGTTAAAATGATCAGTCATCCACAGTGTGAACACATATATACCATAGCCAGAAAGCATGCCTGAAAGCATGTGACTACTTCAAGTCCAAGTGGAAGATCTTTCTTATACTAACAGGATTCCTCTTGATAGTAGCGGTACAAGCAGACACGTGTCACAAATTTGTTAATTATCTTTCTGCTGTTAGCTTCCCACTTTGTTGCTCTGCTTTATCAGGAAAAGACTTTTTATTGGGAAGTGTGCCGGGTGCCTCCCATGTGGAAGTCTGCCACATGCAAACAAAGGCTGTCTAATTACATAGCTTTTCCATGACTTTCCTTTCACAGACAAACCCGAAGACCAACAAGTTGGCCATGATAT